GTGGCAGGCCCTGCTGGCCGCGGCCCTGGCCTCCTGCTCCCCGGCGCGCGGCCTGGACCCGGAGGACCTGGCTTTGCTGCGAGGCCTGGCCGAGGAGCTCTTCCCGCCCACGCTCGCCTTCCTGCAGCAGCACTGCAGCTCTGTGCTGCAGAGCCATGCCCAGCCCTGCCGCCCCACTGCCTGGGGCGTCCCCGAGACTGCCGCTTTCGCCCGCATCCTGCAAGCCCAGCTGGACCGGCACCTGCCGCCTGAGCAGTCCACGGGCCAGGCACCCAGCATGGACGAGGTGGCAGGTGAGGCTGGGGCCCCTGCTCCTAGGGCTCGGGGCTGGCGGGGTCCCCCCGGGGGGTGCGGAGGTCCACGGGGAAGGGCACGGCCAGACGCTCCTGCAACCAGCTCCTTGCTTTACAGGCCGCAAGGACAGCTCCCCCACGCTGGCACCATCCTCCTCCTCCTCCTTGAGCCAGCACCTGGACCAGCTTGTAGCCACCCAGCGCCACCAGCTGCTCCTCAGCATCTTCGTGTTTGCCTACATCTGGGGCTTCGGTGGCCACCTGCACCCCAGGTACCGGCCAGTTCGATGCGTACGGGACGCCCCTCTGCCAGCCTGCCCTGCCCTGGGAAGCGGGGTGGAAGCCCGGGTCCCGTTCCAGCGTGGGGATGGGGGTAGGGCCTGGGGGGGGGGTTAAAGCATGGGGGTCTGGGAGCCAGGATCACAGCAGCATGGGGCTGGGAGGGACCTCATGGGGTCACATTTAGTCCAGTCCCTGCTGGAGGCAGGACCAGCCCTGGCTGAACCATCCCAGCCACGCAGCTGTCCAGGATGGAGATGCCCTGGCTCCTCTAGGTACCTGTTCCAATCCAGACCTCCCTCAGGGTTGGGACGCAACCCTGTCCCCCGTGGCCGCAGAGAAAAGCCCTTCTCCAGCCTCTCTGTCATTGCCCTATAGGTATTTGAAGACTTGTTGAATCTCCCCTTGGTCTCTTCTCTCCTCCAGACTCAGTCACTCCAGTTTTTTCCAGCCAGTCCTACCTCCCAGGCCCTTGATCGTGTTTGTTGCCCTGCGCTGGGCTCTGCCCGAGTCCCTCTGGAGTGTCCACAACTCCACCCAACTTGGTCATCTGCACATCTGCTCAGCAAGCACTCAATCCCCTTTGCACCAGAATCCTAGAAAACGAAGAGTTGGAGATCACATCTAGTGCAACCCCCTGCTCAAAGCAGGACCAGCCCCAACTACATCACCCCAGCCAGGGCTTTGTCTACCCGGGGCTTCAAAACCTCCAAGGTTGGAGACTCCACCGTCTCTCTGGGAAGCCTCTTCCAGTGCTTTACTACCTTCCTCAGAAGAACGTTTTTCCTAATATCCAACCTCAACTTCCCTTGCTGCAACTGGAGCCCATTGCTCCTTGTCCTGCCATCTGCCCCCACTGAGAACAGCCCAGCTCCATCCTCTTTGCAGCCCCCCTGCAGGGAGGTGAAGGCTGCAATTAAACCCCGTCTCTTCTCCAGACTAAATAAGCCCTGTTCCCTCAGCCTCTCCTCACCAGTCCTGGCCCCCAGCTGTTTTCATTGCCCTCTGCTGTACTCTCCAACGTGTCCACATCCATTCTGTAGTGGGGGGCCAACAGCTGGACACAGGACTCCAGATGTGGCCTCCCCAATGCTGAACAGAGGGGAAGGATCACTGCCCTCCATCTGCTGGCACCGCTCCTACCATTGCAGCCCAGGATGCCGGTAGCCTTCTTGGCACCGAGGGCACACTGCTGGCTCCTGTTCAGCTCCTTGTCCCCTGTCACCCCGGGTCCTTTTCTGCAGAGCTGCTGCCCAGCCTGCACCGGTGCAGGGGATTGCTTCGTCCTAAGCGCAGGACTTTGCACTTGTCCTTGTTGAACCTCATGAGATTTCTTTTGGCCCAATCCTCCAATTTGTCTAGGTCTCTGTGAATCCTAGCCCTACCTCCAGTATATCTACTGCTCCCCCCAGCTTGGTGTCATCTGCACACTTGCTGAGGGTGCACTGCATGCCATCTTCCAGATCGTTAATGAAGCTATTGAATAAAACCAGTCCCAGGACCGACCCCTGGCGCACTCCACTTGATGCTGGCTGCCAGCTAGACATTGAGCTATTGATTATTACCTGTTGAGCCCAACGATCCAGCAAGTTTTCTGTCCACCTTACTGTCCATTCATCCAGCCCATACTTCCTCAGCTTGCCTGCAAGAATGCTGTGGGAGACTGTACCAAACGCCGTGCTAAGGTCAAGGTACACCACTTCCACTGGCCTCCCCGCATCCACAGAGCCAGTCACCTCGTCATAGAAGGCAATCAGGTTAATCGGGCGTGACTTGCCCCTGGTGCATCCATGCTGACTGTCCCTAATCACCTTCTTCTCCTCCCAGTGCTTAGAAGTGGATTCTTTGAGGATCTGCTCCAGGATTTTTCCAGGGACTGAGGTGAGGCTGGCTGGTCTGGAGTTCCCTGGATTCTCCTTTTTTCCCGTTCTTAAATATGTTTGCCCTTTTCCAGTCATTCAGGGCATACCCCGATCACCATGAATTTTCATAGATGATGGCCAGCGGCTCTTCAATCACACCAGCCAACTCCCTCAGCACCCTCGGGTGCATCCCATCCGGCCCCATGGACTTGTACACATCCAGCTTCTCTTAAGTCATCCCTAACCTGTTTTCTCACCGCTGAGCGCTGCTCACCTCCTCCCCAAACTGGGCTGCCCGGTGCAGTCATCTGGGAGCTGCCCTTGCCTGTGGAGACCGAGGTGAAAACGGCACTGAGCACTTCAGCCTTTTCCTCCTCGTGCCACCACGTTGCCTCCCACGCTTCCCCTGACCTGCTGCTTGTTGCTGACATACTTGTAGAAACTCTTCTTGTTGCATTTTACCCTTCATCCCACTCACAAATGAAGATGTGCTGGACCAGCACAGGCCCCCGGACACCGTCTCCCAACTAGATGCCGACCCGTTGAGGACCGCTCCCTGAGCGTGGAGATCCAACCAGCTACGTACCCACCTCACAGCACTGGCATCTGGCCTGTGCTTCCTCAGCTTGTCAGTGGGAACGGCATGGGAGACTGTGTCAAAATCCTTGCGAAAGTCAAGGGCTGTCGCACCCACTGGTCCCCGCTCCATCCGCAGAGCCTGTCACCCGGTCATAGAGGGCATTCGGGAGACATGTCCTGGTGAATCCCTGCCGGCTGTTCCTGATCACCTCCTTCTCCTCCATGTGCTTCACAATAAGCTCCTTAGGACCTGTTCTGTGACCGGGTATCGAGGTCAGGCTCTCTGGGCTGTAGTCCCCGACACCCTCCTCCTTCCCTTTCTTGAAGATGGGCACCGTGTTGGCCCTTTTCCAGTCATCCAGGTCCTTGCTTGAGCTCCACAAGTTTTCAGAGAAGGCAGCCAGTGGTTCTGAAATGTCCTCGACATGCTCCTTCAGTGCCCGACGGTGCATCCCATCCGCCCTGCTGACTTGAAAGCAACCAGCTTCTCCAAGTAACCCCTGACCCGTCCTGCCGCTCCTCTGGGCTGTTTGCCTCCTTTGGCTCTGCTGCTAGCTGCCCCTATTTGTGAGGGCATTGAGTCAAGAGGGCATTGAGTACTTCCGCCGCCTCTGCATTGCCCGTGTCTAGCTGCCGTCTGCATTTTGGAAGGGACCTGTGGTCCCCTCAGTCTTCCTCTGCACACGCTTGTAGAATCCCATTTTATTGCCTTTTACGCCCCTGGCCGGCTGCATCTCACGCCATGCCCTGGCCTTTTGAGTGCTCTCCCTGCACGTGCTTATGATACTCCTACAGTCATGGAAGACAGTCCTCCTCAATGGCGAAGAAGACGAGGAGTACTGGGAGTTAGAGATGCGGGGCTGGGAGCCGGGACACCTGGGTCATGGCCCAGCTCTGGGAGGGGACTGGAGTGGGAGGGGGACAGGGCTAGAACCGGGGACTCTCTCCTCTTCCCTGGCCCATTGGTCTCCACAGGCACTGGGACGTCTTCGACCGCTTCGCCCGCCGGGCTCTGCTCAGCAGCCGCTGCAGCGTGGAGCTGCCTCCAGCAGCCTCCGTCTTTGACCTGTACCCGCAGCCGGAGAGCGGGAGGCTGGAGGTCTTCAACGGGACGTACCTGTCCCACAGGCCCAAGGGGGTCCCCGCCACCTTCATCCCCCTGCCCCAGGTACCGCAGGTCCCGTGGGTGGGGCCGGGCACTACCGAGTCCACGGGCTGGGAACCTGCCCGTCGTGTCCTGCCTCGGGGTGACCAGAAGCAGGGGCAGGAGCTCTGGGACCATCCGGGGTCCCCATGCCAGCCTGGCTGCTGGTGGGGCAGGACAGGGGCTCTGCCCCAGGCCTTTGAGCCGTCCAGGCTCGGCCGGCTCAGGGGCCCAGCCAATGCTGCTTGGGCGCAGGGAGGAGCTGGGGGGCAAAGCGGGTCCCAGAGTGGTGCCGGCAGCTCTGGGCAGGCTCCGCGCTCCCGCCGCAGCACGCCTGCTGCACCTGGTGGACCTGCTGCTGGGCGCCCGCCAGCCCGTGCTGCTGGCCGGGGAGCCTGGCGCCGGCAAGTCAGCCTTGGCGGAGCTGCTGGCCCAGCCGCACCAGCCCTGGCAGCGCATGGCCCTCTCGCCTCCCTTCGGTGCCACCCACCTGCGCCAGCTGCTCCAGACCAGGGTCTGGAGCAGCTCCAGGGCACCGGGGCCGCGGGCGCCCTCCCTGCACGGCACCAGGGGCCACCTGCTTGTGCTCGAGGACCTGCATGCCGCCGAACCCGGTGAGTGGTACCCCCCCACTTCGGCCCTGTGGCCTGACTGGCTCAGGGGCAATGACCCTTGCCAAGGCAGGTGCAAGGCTGATGCCCGCTCTTGGCTGCAGGGCCATGGGGGGGCAGCTGCGCCGTGCTGGAGACCCTTCGCCAGGCCCTGTCGCACCGGGAGGTCTGCAGCACGGAGACCCTGGAGCTCCAGCGTCTGCTGCCCGGCCGCTGCCTGGCCACCCTGTCCGTCCCCGCACCGGGCGCACCACCCCTCTGCCCACGCCTGGCCTGGCTCTTCAGCACGCTGGCGCTGCCCGCCCTCACCCGGGACGCGCTCACCACCATGCACACGCCCGCTCTCCTGGCCTGGCTGGAGAGGCTCCCACAGGTGCCACGGGCCGGCGAGCTGGCCCCTGCCCTGGTGGGCGCCACTGTGGACGCCTACGAGGCCGTGCGGGCGCGCTTCCGGCCTGTGCCTGCCCGCTGCCCATGCTTCTTCTCCGCCCATCACATCGACAAGGTGCTCCGGGGCCTGCTGCTCCTGCGGCCCAGCCCCAGCCCGCCCCTGCTCGCCGGCCCCACGGACGAGGGGCGGGCGGCACGGCGAGGCTCCCCAGGGCTGGCTGCCAGCCCCACGATGGGCGCGCATACGGTGCCGCGCCTCTGGCTGCACGAGGCCCTGCGCACCTTCTGCGACCCGCTGGCCTCGGCGCCCGAGCAGCGGGAGTGCACGCAGCTGCTGCTGGACACGGCCCTCGGTGCCTTCTGCGCCCACCGCAGCATCCCACACGCCGTCTCCACCACCGAGCAGGCCCCTGGCGCCCGCCCCACAGGCCCCACGGACGAGGAGGATGGGGAGGACGATGCCCCCAGCGACAGCGACACGGAGCCCAATGACACCCCCAGCAGCAGCGACTCCGAGGGCCCCGATGCCTTCGATCCCGTGGAGCTGGCCCTGCCGCTGGCGCTGGACCCACCGGGTGCCGGCTCCCGTGACCCGCCCCCCCTCGTGG